AAAAAAAAAAAAAAAAGGAAATGGTCGAGTGGTCGAGGCAGTTACTATGTGATGGCTTCTATTTTCTTTACAAAAGTTAAGAGTATGGGGGTATGGCAAGAAGTTTAAGGAGTGCTTAAGGTTTAGAATAGTCAGTGTGGGGCACTGGACAGGGAGCTGACAGAGGACAAGAAAAATGCTAAGCAGCACTGGGAACTCAGCCATGATTGGAAACTCTAAGTATGAACATGTTACAAATCTATACAAGTATTTTCTTTAATAAATCTGGATTATTGGGGCACCCAAATGGAAAAAGGACTATTCTAGGATTGAGAATTTTCAGGGATAGCATGGCAGAAGGACAAGAAGAGGTTCAGACCACCAAAGCTGTACCCTGAATTGAATAGTCAAGAATAGGTATCCCTCTTCTGTGCTTTGTGAATGTCCTATGCGTCCTTTATCAGTAATTACGTTGCTTCATAATTATCTGTTTATGTATAAGTCTCTCTTCTTTAAATTGTCTGAAATTTTATTGTCTTATTGACAGCTACTACTTAATGGCTAACACCTAATAGTTGCTCGATAAATATTTGATTGATGGGCTAATTCATTTAAAACATATTTACTGAGAGACTACCAGGTACCAGCCAAACACTGTTCATATCGTGGTAAACAAAACAGGTAAGGCACTTCTCTCATGAAACTTACAGACTAGTGGGAAATCTCTAGAGTATAAGAAAACATGTAAGTAAATAAATAAATAATTACAAACTGTTTTGCACTGGGAAGGAAATAAACAGAATTCAAGGATAGAGAAAAACAGAAAAAGGGAGATATATTTTTGATAAGGTGGTCAGGGCAGTCTTTTCCAAGTAGGTAACAATTAAGCTGAAATCTGAAGGATGAGAAGGTACTAACTTTGTGGGAAAAAAGGCAAGACTAACCAGGCAGAGGAAAAATCAAATGCAAAAGACCTTCTCACATGTAGGGACCAGATGTCAGGTCCACGTTCCCTGGCTCTTGGTTCCCAGTACCAAAGCTGGTTACTGGCACCGAGTCGATGGAGCAAATGAGCAGACCAGGCAGACGCAAGCAAACACAGTGCCAAAGTTTATTTAAGCATAGTACATTCCAGAGGAGAAATGGGTCAACCCTCGCAAGTGGAGGAGACCCTGAGTTTAAAAAGATTTTCCCTTTTATGATGATTCCCTAATTTTATGTTAAGGGGCAGGGGGAGTGGAATATTCACAGTTTTTCTTGGAAAGGGGGGAGAATTCCCAGAACTGGGAATCCTCCCCATTTTTAACCTTGTAAGGCAATTTCTGGGGGTTGCCATGGTATTTGTAAATTGTCATGGTGCTGGTGGGTATGATTTTTACTATGTTAATGAGGGTAGGTCACTTGAGGATACTGTCACTTGCACGTATGCTCCAAAGACCCTCATTTGTGGCCTTGACCCTATCTCCACTTTGTGGCCTTTCTGGTTGGTCAGTCCTTGGAGACCCCCTATCGTAGACCAAACATCTGTTCAGTCCTTGGAAGCCCCCTTGACATGTCATCTGTTCTTTCTTGGAAGTTCCCTCTGGCTAGTTTGTTCCTCCTAGCAGACAAAGCATCTCCTAGTGCCATCTATTTCTCAATGGAAACCCCCTAGACCAAGCATCTGTTCCCCTTCCTCCTTGTCCCAACCTAACAACCTGAGGTAGGAAAGAGCCTGGCATAGAGTTCAGGATGTATAAATGACAATGTAGAATAAAACATGACAGTATACCCTTAGGCAAACCTTACAGACCCAAACTAAAAATCACAAAACAGCTATGGTTCAATCTTGAAAACCTCAGTGCAAACCCTACTTTCTGTCTTTTTTCTTCCTTTTCATTCTCCTCATTTAAAAAGGCCAAGAGGAAATTTCTCTTTCATATAGCCTAACACTGCTGGTTGTCTGAAGACTTTGTTTTTAAGACAATATAAAAATCACAAAATAAAAATTATCCAGAGAGGAGTAATAAACTAGACTTCAGCTAAGCCATGGAAAAATCTTAGCAGGCCCAGGGTATAGTAACATTTTCTTAAAAAACTATATATCTTAACTCAATACCCCCAAATTGTAGGCAATATAACCCTAACAAGCTCCAACCCAAACTTTACTAGTTTATTTCTTGGTGACCCTGCCTTATGCTCTACTAGCTTACTGATGGAGATCTAGTCCTGGCCATTGAGTGGAAGATTCTCATAACTCTTACCCCTTACAGAGTGCTCATTTCTTCCCTTCACACAGCATAAAAGACAAT